CCATCATTTTCTACAAAGAATGACTATCCACTAACCCTAGTAAGTCTCTACAACAAAAATTAAATCGTACCATATGAACAACCTACGATTCTGTACATCGACCGTGTTGGTAGGGGACTGCCCAGTTACTAACGAGAATAATTCTCCTACGCATGTTCTCCATTGATTGTTTTGGAAAACAGCTTAACTCTGTACGTGCAAAAAGCGATTTGGACACACACAAACGAAACAAAATCATGTTTTCCAACAATTTCTACACAAAGTCTGAATTTCCGGCTTTGGCCAGTCTCTAGTGCTGATTACAGTCCTGTAGGTTGGCCTCCTTCTGTTGATCATTCGGCCCCACATGTTAGCCAGTCTCTAACATCGTCTTTCCAAATATCCATGGAAATAATCGTTGGAAATATGTATTAAATGTTTGTAGGTGAGTTTGTAGTGGTGACAATAGTACGAGTTCGCATGTAATTAATAAATATTATTATTTTTACGTAACTTGTTATGGGACGCCATGACTGCGAGTGGTATATGCCCCCCAGTAATGGCGGCGGCGTATGAGGGCGTACTTTCGAGAAGCGCTCGTCGGATTACTCTATTCCAATCACAGGGTCTTGTAACGTTTCTAAGTCAACATTACCGGAGCGACGTAACATCAAACCCTTACATACGTTACTCGCTGTCAGGGCTTGCAAATATTACGTCTCCCAGGTAATACCGACTTTGAAATGTTACAAGTCCCTGTGATTCCAATATGCACCGGTGTTGAGGATCTGTGCAATGTGACACCTCTAGAGGGACCGTCTTAATACGCCTGTGTCTTAATGGTGAGCAACTGGACTCATCACCGCACAGTCAACGCACATGAAGTTGCACTTGAATTTAAATCACAGCAAACCTGTCTTAAAGACACTTCGAATTCTGTATAGTCAAATTATTATTTCCATTTCACTCCAGAACTCACCCATTCGTTCCCATAGCTAAATGAAGCACCATGCTCCACCACTGGGCGGCGCCATCTTTGTGGCGTGTGTTTGTAAGTTGTTTCACTAAATTAGAGGTCAGCGGTCGATTCATTCTCCGTCACGAAGACTATGGGTCTTTTATCACTAAGCTAGGTAGTCGTTAGGGAACGTACCACTAGTCTCTGCCACAAGCCTAGGCTAATTTAAATATTAATGACCGGATCTACATTTTGCTTTGCCATGAGTGCGTTCGCGTCGCTCCGTGAGGGTGCCCCAAACGACGTGGCAGAAAGTAATAGTAGTTTATAAATAAATAAACGCTAC